GAGGCAGGTGGATCACCTGAGGTCAGGAGTTCGGGACCAGCCTGTGCAACATGACGAAAGCCCGTCTCGACTAAAAGTACAAAAATTAGCTAGGCTGGGAGGCAAACGCCTGTAATCCCAGCTACTCAGAAGACTCAGGCAGGACAATTACTTCAACTTGGGAGGCAGAAGTTCCCGTGAGCTAAGATGGAACCACTGCACTCCACCTGGGCAACAGAGCGAGACTCCATCTCAAAAACAGTAAGAATAAGAATATCATACTGTGGAAACAGACACCCTACAATTTGCATGCCTCATAAATTGCCTACCTGCTTCTGGTGGTTTCACCTGCTCTGGATTTGGCAGGCGCATCTCCTGGACATCAGGACCATCTCCACGCTCACACCCAGTCTTCGGGTGAACCTGTTCCTGGCTATCAGCTTCAGGCTCCGGCCCTTAAAAATTAAAACAAAATTATCAATTCAAGCAGTAAAACATGAAATATGAATAAGGAAATCATATTCATGCTCTCCGTGTTATTAAATAAAGGCTTTAACTAGTGTCATAATAAATGTGTTCATAACAATCCCAGGAACGTTATTTCAGGAGTCTGTTGGCAGAAAACAGGAAAACAGGGTTTTCCAAATATTATCCCCTTCCTTCCCAAAGACTGCCCTCACACAACTTGGTTGCCTCTTTTGCACTTTTCTGTTTTTGGACTTCTCAGTGTCCTTATCGTATGAAATGACTCAAGGCTGAAATACTGTCTCATAGCACTTACAGTCCTAGCACTTAGACATCTAATATGGCACGAGTAGCCACCAATAAACGCTGAGTGAAAATCTCTGAAAAATACACGAAAAAGCCCAGACTGCTGAACATTCTACAAACCAACTGGTCTATCCTCCTCAAAAATGTTCGTATCATGAATGACAAAGAAAAATTAAGGAACCATTCCAGATTAAAGGAAAGTAAAACCACACGACAAGTACATGCAACATGTGATCCTGAGCTGGACTCTGCATTATCTAAAGAAATTCTATAAAGGAAATTATCTAGGCTGGGCATGGTGGCTCACACCTGTAATCCCCATCATTTTGGGATGCCAAGGTGGGCAGATCAGGTGAGGTCCAAAGTTCAAGACCAGCCCGGCTAATGTGGTGAAACCCCACCTCTATTAAAAATAGAAGAAGAAAAAAAGAAAAAAGAAGAAGAAACATTAGCCAGGCGCGATGGCCAGCAACTGTACTCCCAGCTACTCAGAAGGCTGAGTCATGAGAATCCCTTGATCCTCGGACGGTAGGCTGCAGTAAGCCAAGATCATACTACTGCACTCCAGCCTGGGCAACAGGGTGAGACTCTGTCTCAATAAATGATTGAATGAATGAATAAAATAGTCTGAAAAACTGGCAAAAGTTGAGTATACACTGTGTATGAAATGACTGCATTTTCTCATTGTTAAATTTGCTGATTTTGATCTTTGTGCAGTGATGATCCAAGGAATGACTTCTTCTAGGTTCTGACAATATACACACAATCAAGTGCCATAATACCTGAAACTTCATCTAAACAATTGACCATTAATAACCGTAAACATAATATCCGTAAGTGAGTGTGTGAGTGTGTGGGTAGCAGGGTAAGACAGGGAGGGAGCAGATATCAAACCAATGGAGCAAAAGCTATTAACGGTTGGTGAATCTAGGTGAAAAGTATATGACTTGACTGTAGTATAATTGCAAATTTTCTATAAATGTTACGTCTTGAAAATATACAAATAAAAACTTAGAAGAATATATGACAACTACACTGAATTTATGAAGTCAGGAGGTTTCTTTAGGTTGTGGTAAAATATATATATATATATACATGACATAGAATTTATCATCTTAACTATTTTTAAATGTTACGGTTCAGTAAGGAACAATGTGCAACATTACCAGCAACTAGAAACAAACTTTGCATGTTTGTTTTCCTGTATCATGAAACCTTTATGTATTTCTTTCTTTACTTCTATCCTTACTTCTTTATTTGTTAGCGAGGAGGTCTTGCTATGTTTCCCAGGCTGGGCTTGAACTCCGGGGCTCAAGCAATCCTCTCACCTAAGCCTCCTAAGTAGCTGGGACTATGAGTGCATGGCATTCAACTCAGGACGAGACCTTGCTCTTAAATGAAAATCTGAGGATAAACCACAGGAGTTCTACGATGCTTATATTCACCCATATAGTACCAAGAGCAGTGGGCATCAGCTAAGAAATCTGAAGTCCACAACATGGATAGGATTTCAGTTATAATTACAATGTAAATTTCGGAGGATTCATTAGCTGAATGCACTTGAGGACTATGGAAAATCTTACACTCATGACACCCATTACCTATAGGTAATTAAGAAACTTAATCTTATTCAAATAAAGTTATATTTCGGTCCAAAGGTCCTAATATACTATTCCATAAATGAACCCCATGTAGAACAAAGCACCAAAAACTACATGGTTTGTGAATCACAGCAAATATACCGTCCTGCACTGAGAATAACGGAGTGGGTGGACAGCAATTAATGCGTATTGTTGTCAATCATATTCTAGAAACCTTAACAGTAAATCCCTAAAATAATCCATGACCTGAGTTACATAAATGTTTTGTTTCAAACTACTTTTTTTTTTTTTTTTTTTTTTTTTTTTTTTTTTTTTTTTTTTTTTT